TCTCTCTCTCTCTGGTGTCGTTCTCTCTCTCCTACTGGTGTCGTTGTCTCTCTATTTACGCCTGTATTTTTCCGACTGTGTGAAAGGTCTTATTCTCTGTGTCACTAGTGTCTCTGTGCAGTAGCCTACTGATAAGCCATCTGACAGTGTGACCTCATCCCATCTATATCTGTTAGAATAACCTGCATGACAACATGAGAACAGGCACCAGTGTCACTCCCCTTTAAATCCCTCTGATCTGACATGATAATAAATAATGAATACATACTACAGCCCCGCCATTACAGATAATCAAACAATGTCTTTTATTGAAAGAATTGTGACCATATACATGTTTGTACTGAGGAGGTTGTTTTATTTCTTTGTTATTTATCAGACAGCACACACACTGGTGCTATTATATCTGCAGTAAGTTAGTGTCGGCTCAAATATCGGTCCGGCTCTGATAAAAACCGTCAATGTTGTGAAAAGCAAGAATTGTGGAGATATTGTCATGTGGCTAATAAGACATGGGACATGCTTGAACTATATTATATAAACAATATTTAATATGTACTTTCCAAATTCATATGTTAGATATTTTATAGCTTTATAATATATATATATATGTATATGTATATATATATATATATGTATATGTATATATATATATATATATATATGTATATATATGTATATGTATATATATGTATATGTGTATATATATATATGTATGTATGTATGTATATATATGTATATGTGTATATATATGTATGTATGTATGTATATGTATGTATGTATGTATATGTATATATGTATGTATGTATATGTATATGTATGTATATGTATATGTATATATATGTATGTATATATATGTATGTATATGTATATATATGTATGTATATGTATATATATGTATGTATATGTATATATATGTATGTATATGTATATGTATGTATATGTATGTATATATGTATATGTATATGTATATTTATGTATATATATATGTAATAGTTTTAGGATTGCCAGAAATGCATTGCAATAAAATACATACTTAATATGTGCTTGCAAATATATGCGCTAATAGAAATAAGCACCATAAGGATGTTAATGTCTTTTATTTATGTTAACAATGTTGAAGGAATAATCTCAAAGTCCTGCGTCGGCTTTTGTCCAGAAAACTTCTGGTTGTGGCAAAAAACAAACCAAAACCTGCAGGTGATAAAACTCTATCGGATGAAATGCACAGTTTTACCAGCAGATGAGAACAGATGAGAGCAGATCATTACAGACACGTCCTCTGACTACAGCACCGTTCTGTCCTAGTTTACACTCTCTGTATGCACATCTAGTTCATCTTCACTGCTGAATGCGGGGAAACTATCGCATGTGGTATCGTGGTTGTTTGAGTAGGTTCATTGGTTTCAAGTTGGCAGTTGCAAAGCATTCAGACCGGTAATCTAAAACTAGGCCTGCAACCTAACCTATTATTGTCTTTAACATGAGTGTCACAATTTCCTAAAGCTCAAGTAGATGTCTTCAAATGTCTTGTTTTGCCTGATAAACTTTCCAAAACCCAAATGTATTCGGTTTACTATAACACAAGACAAAAACAAGCAGCAGAAGCTGGAGCCTGTGGATGTTGTTGTTCTTTACAGTTCTAAAGTTAAACTTTAACTGCTCTCTGTTGTCACTCTTCAGTATTCCACAGATAACATTCAGGGACCAGGGTGCACCGCTGACCCCACTGAAGTCGCCCTTCCTGGATGCTCGTGTCGTTCCCGCTCCTGCTGCGCTGAGAACTGCACCTGCCTGCGGACGCGCGGCCGTGCGTACGACAGCGCCGGCGCGCTGCTGACCCTCGGCCCAACAGACTCTGGTTACTGCGCACCGGTGTTTGAGTGCAACGCCCTTTGCGCCTGCAGCGACGCCTGCTCGAACCGGGTGGTGCAGGGAGGGATGAGGCTCAGGTTGGAGGTTTACGGCACGGAGAACAAGGGGTGGGGAGTGCGGACGCTGGGGGCGATCCCACGTGGGACGTTTGTGTGCGAGTACGCGGGAGAGGTCATCGGTCTGGAGGAGGCTAGACGCAGACAACTTGCCCAGAGCTCCGAGGAAAATAACTACATAATAGCCGTGAGGGAGCACGCGGGCACAGGCGCCGTCGCCGAGACGTTCGTGGACCCCGCCGCGGTGGGAAACGTAGGCCGCTTCCTCAACCACTCCTGCCAGCCCAACCTGTTCATGCAGCCGGTCCGCGTGCACTCCTTGGTTCCCCGGCTGGCGCTGTTTGCCGGGCGGAACATTGATGCTCAAGAGGAGCTGACATTTGACTACACGGGGGGGTACAGTAACCACCTTCCCGTAGAGCTGCTGTCCACTCAAAGGGACGCTGACATATGGGCCAGTAGGACAGATGGACTCCAGAGGAAAGAGTGCCACTGTGGGGCCAACAACTGTGTTCACTTCCTGCCATTGGATTTATCTATAATCAACCGGGAATGAACTAAGTTCCATTTTATATCACGTGTGTTTTTATCTGAATGTCAAGAGATGGATGTGTTTTTCTAAATGATGCAGAAAAGATTTTCTATTAAAACTTATCTCTACTTAGTGTTGTCTGTTTTGCAGTTTCCCCCCCGAACATCTTAATCCATCCACTCATTAGAACAAGACAATGCAACAGGTTGATGGCTCCACGTACACAATGAGCCGGATGAGTCATGTCTGAGCCCGTCATCGCTTCCTGTTTGGTCCCGCCGGCGTCTCCCACTCGATGTAAGGCGATGCAATGAAAACTAAAACAAAGGTTGTATTTGTCTGAGAGAGTAAACTTGTTGACGTTCCTGTCATTTCAACCACCAGGGGGATGTTTGCTCTGTATAAGACGTTTCCCACCAGATTTACAGTCTTGCAGCTGTCAGCTTGTCCTGGCACATTTAAATCCCATTTCTCACATGAATCCGGGAGGAGCAGAAGCATCATTTGCACTGACAGATATTGAAGGAGTGTTCAATAGGTGTCTTTTAATAGCCACATAGGCTACAGAATTGATCTGCAGACCTTTACAGTTGCCGAAGCATTTTGCAATAAGAAGATGTCACCGAAATGCTCAGTTAAAGAAATAATGTCGCCATCAACTTGCCATTTGTCTTCCGTCTTCAATCAATGCAGCCCTCTCCTTGTAGATATTCTCAGCTTCTCATGCGCTCAAACCTCCGGAGAGGTGGGACCAATTAAAAAGGGCCGCGGGGGTATTTTTAAATATAGAAACAGACTTTATTCCCAAATGTCAAAAGGAGGAGCGAAGGTGTCCCACTTCAGTGTGACCATTCTGAAACCAGGACTTGCTCTGCTCAATCTGCCCCGTTTCTAGTCTAGACCTGCTTTCATCTTATTAATATCCACATCTGGGTTAATGAGGATGGAGACCGTGTTTCATCCAGAAATGGGACCAGTGCTGCAGCCACACTGGGCCTGAGAGAGACCCAGTGGTGGGAGAGGGGGGAGGGAGGGAGGTAGGGGGAGATGGAAGCCCTCTGCCGATCGGAGACTACTGTCAAGTTGATTTTTTTTGTGTCAACCAGTGTGGAGCAACCCGCGCAGGTTGTTGTTATTTTGACCTACATTATTTCCTCTACAAGGGTTACCTGAGGATGTCTTTTTTTCAAAATGGGCTGTTCTTTGTACAGGATCTGATCTACACTCACTTAAACAACTCAATTGAAAGGAATAGTTTGCAGAGAGTCCGATGATGAGACTGATCCCACACTGAAGTTTGGACAAGCATTAAAACGATGATACAATCTGAGAGAGCGAGAACAGCAGTAGAACATATACTGTATATATGAATGTTGGCCTTGGGGAAAACTAGACCAACACCCGGGCATTTCTCAAACCAGAGTATAGAAATGTAAAGAAGGTTCTGGGTCAGGGTTTCTCTCTCCACCATCGTCTGAAGTCCTGAGTGCAGTGGTTTGGCATTCTAACCTCTACCACCAATACATCCGATATATAATTGGGACAACATCCTTTCAATGTGTGGCCTCAATTTTGTTGTGCCTTTTGTGACAAACGAGATTCCACCGTCCTGCTACGAGCATAAGAAATGCATCAACTCGTGTCAACAGTGAGTCAGACGTCCCTGGGATCCCTATGGCAACCGGCGATGCGCACAGGAGGTGATTTTGGACGGCAGCGGTTGGTTCGGAGGTGCAACGAAGGCTGTTCTCAAATCCCCGACTGTTGGAAGAGCCGGGCTGCAAATGAATGGCTCCTATCCAGGATGGTCACCTAGCAACCACCAGTTAATCACACACACACACCCCGAACCCCGCTATACGCAGCCCCTCCGTACAAGAACAAACACGGCAATGATGCCTCACAGTGCAGGAGCACCGTGTTTCGAGAGAGCAGACCGTGGGTCTTGCATCTCAGAAAATGAGTCCTGGTGGTGGGTTCAACTGGTTTTGGAAAATAGGAAACACCCAGAAAATATTGCAACATGGTGTTTCATGCAAAAGTGAGGAAAAAGATCAAATGTTTTAATTCAGTCCTTTAAAAGGACCTCGTTGAGTTTTGGTCATTGCGAACTCAGAACTCATTGGCTCTGGGTCTAACAGCGATTTAGCCTCTGTGGGCAAAGGCCGATATTTCCACCATGTTTGTAGTTTTACTGCTTGAGGTCTCATTCCACTGGCTCTTGTTAGGTTGCCTCATGATGATGCGTTTAAAGGCATATTTCTTTTGGAGAGTTGGATGAGAAGATTGATACCGCTCTCACGTCTGTTGGTCAAATTCGAGGCTGTGGCAGTCCATTTGTTCAGAAATAGAGCACCTCTCTGATGAGGGAGCAGATGTCCTTGCCTTGAATCCTTCAGCCAAGTCGAGAAAGAAAGGAAACAAACGGCAGCTATCTGCTGGGCCTCAGCTGGCAAAAGCATTTTAAAGTCCAATTTGACTTTGTTGTGAATGTATGAAATGTGTTTTTGAACCATTGGGTGCTTGCTGTTTTCAATGATCTGTTCCTGTTTCTGTTGTTTTGAATAGACATGAACAGATTAAACAGCGCGTATTGAATTAGTCTTTGAACCTTTAGTTAAGTCGCTCAGTAGCCACAAATGACTTAAAGTGACACTCACCAACATAGATCTGATTTGTTTTAACTGAAACCTGTCCATGTTCCGAGTGGAGCAGGTTGTATTTTGCAGCTTCACTTCAGTGTTAGAGGAAGGGGATGCCAATGGGTTTTTTTTTAAACTGGCTCCTCCCATCACAGATGTTTAGTTATATTTGGCCCAGGACACCTGCAGCAGGCTTAGCAGGAAGTTCTGGGGCCCGAGAAGCACCCACTTCCACAGCTGCCCTCACCACTGATTAGACCTACACACACACACACACACACTCTTCATGCATATGTTAACACAATACATTTACAGCACACTTATTCTTAACTAAGCAGTTTTGAAATGCACATTAGCAGATGTAAATAAAAGGGAAACACAGGTAAGAATGAGTATAAGATATTATTTTCTTTAAAAACCTGGTAATGATAGCTTCCATTATAACCACCAGATAACAAAATATCCAATCATTGTGAACCACTGCTGTCACAATCCTACCTCAAATGATCCCGCTGAGTCTGCATGCTCGGTGGAGCACATCAATGCACTTGACAATGGTGATGCAATCGTTTGAGACACTTACTGTGTATATCACCACGTGTTGATCACGCTTCGTGTTTAAACCTCGTGCAGAAAGCTTGCTGACAAACAGTCCATCCCAAGCTGTGACAATCCCCTTACCAGTCCTGTCTCACCTTTGAAGCATCCAGTACTAGGCTTTGTTTTCATTCGGGAAATGTGCAGTGTGACGTTGTTTAATTATATTATTTTATTTTTTAAGTTACTGTTATGTGAAGGAGGTACATTTCATTCTATTAGATTTGTTTGATAATTAAAGGTGCAAAAAAAAGTCAATCAAGTCAAAACAATTAGTTTTTTCATGTTTTATATGTCCTATTTAATACTGGTGTGCAAAAAACTGATTTGCATAACGAGGTAGGTTATAGTGAAGTGTAGTGAAAGTGAGGACAGCCCTGCTGATCCCAATGGATTACGTGCAGTTCAAGCAGCTTACAGAACATGTTCTGCAGGCTAAATAGGTGACTTCCGACAACCGCCTGCTTGGATGTCGCTCTCCTTCAGCGGATTAGCTCAAACAGGAAAGTCTACTAGTATCTGTCTCCACAAATAAAAAATCAGGCAGATAATCCCCCCCCCCCCCCCCGCCATTTGTGTATGGTTTGGCATATTGATTAAGCCGTAACCAAGGGGATGCGTTGGAGTGATCCTCCTGTCGGTGGTGCACAGTGCTCGTGAAGAGGGGACCAGCCTGTTGTCAGAGCCTGACAGAAAATGAATATCTGAAAACATGCACACACTGTCAAATGTCACCATTAACACGGTTATTATCAATGAACTTCTTCACGCAAAGTGGCATACAACTTGTTCTTCCTACACTGGAAACAAGTTCTACTGCAAAACCACGGGACCTAATTAGAGTATCTGCAGCTGGTCTAATCAGACTGTTTCCATTGGGAATATGCAGGCCATTACACCAGCATAATTGTCTTTTATTTTTAGTGAGGTGGCTGTTCCAATACCTGTTGTCTTGCAGACAAGTTGAAGAACACAAAAAGCCTTCATTGTTTGTTTATCTCGTCGCCGATGTGTTCAGCTGTAGGCTCTCTTGCTCAGCGGTTGCCTGTGGTCTGCAAAAGAACAAGATAACTGTGGCAACACTTGTGCCGTGGTCTGAGGAAACTGATGTATGGTAAACTGCCTCGAGCTTTGACTGACCCGGCCCTCCTGGGAGGTGATCTACGGTCTGCGTAGACGTCACAGGCTCAAACAGGGCTGGCAGAGAGAGAGAGAGAGAGGATAATAGACTTTTGTTTGTAAGCCTTGACTCATTGTTCCAGTTGTCGGAGCTCCAATAATAGAGCTTAAATTGTCAAATGGAACAACCTGAACAGAATATATGTGGATATCAGCTGAAAGATATTCCACATTGAACTAGAAATCGCTAATAAGTCATTATCTGTGGCGCTCGCCCCCAGCGGCATCATGTCTTCAGTGGTTCATTGTCCCAGATCCAGAGCAGCAGTTTGAGGCCACCATGTTGTTTGTAGAGTTACAGAGCCCTCCATCTCTCCTTTTAACAAAGTCATATGGGCTCTGTTATGAAATGGAGATTTAATATTCCATGCAAAGAGGAACAAGGAGAACACAGGAGACACTTTGTTCCTGATGTATGCTCTTGACATTTCTGATGAATGCCCGGATTAGATGGCCCACACAGACGACTTTCAGAGCCTCAGACAAGAAAACCACCAGCCATTGTGCCCACTCATCGCCGCTCTGGGAAGGCCTGGATCTGCACACGAGAATACTCGCTCTAACACATGCACAGCGGCGAATCTCGCAATCTGTGCACCCACGCGGATTGGCCGCTGCATTTTGTCGTCCCTCCGCCGCTGGTGCATTTCCGAGCATTCACTCGTTTGTTAGTCGTGCCTTGGTTCTGTTCAGAAAGACTGGCCCTTTGCCTTTAATAAGTCAACCGGCCTTTTCATGACCCTTATGGTATTTTCGAGAAGAAGAAAAAACAACAATCTGTCGAAGGCCATGCATTGTGTTGGGGAAGCCTTCTGGCAGCAGACGAGCTCTCCGCGTTCATTAAAGGCGCTATAACCTTTATGACCCAAAACACTTGGAGAAAAAAAGAAAGCGTTGTTGTTTATCATGCTACAAATCAAACCATAGCTGCAATCCACAGACACAGCAGCAGTTGTGTCCAGTTTTATGTATGTATACAAACCACGTTTCTTTGTTTGTTGCTCTGTGGTGGAATGGTAGCCAGTCGTCTGTACACTGTATCCATGACAACTGAGTACTCAGTGATCTGCATTCAACTTCACTTAATGTCAAATTTATCCAAAGCCTGGAAATACTTTCAGAGGAGTAACAGGTTATTCTCGTAGACGTTGTGATGTTGTGACTTCCACGCCATCGCATTTAGACACAGCGTCGGAGAACAATGCTCTGAGTCGAAGCACTTTTCCCTCATTCTTCCTTTCATGTTGATAACGACTCAACAAAGGGAGCTTAGGCTATTTCTTTTACTTAAGTGGATTTGAATGCTCTTTTGACATCATTTGTTTACAGATTGCACAAACCTTGAGAGGC